AAGAATGAGAAAAACTGGATGAATTATGCATACTGCATTGAAACGGATGAGGGAGAGAACAGTTTAAAAGCAATATATTATAGGGCATTATGATTATCATAAGAGTCTGGAATGAAGGTTGCAGAGTGGAGTATACTCAGGGTGGGGGTAGGGGGATGCAGGGGGATTGTATACTAATGAAGGAATTTTTCTTTTACTTTTCACAGAGAAAAGCGACTTGGGGGGCGGGGGCAGGGAGAAAAGTACAACAATGAATGAATGGAAATCCAAAATCTCTGTAAATGTTCATTGAAATGAATAACAAAAAAAGAGTGAAAAAGAAAAAAAAAGATTCTCACCACTAGGCCAATTGGCAGCATCATGATGGACGGTGATGAGATCGAGAATGATAACAATTTTAGTTTGCTTGGCTCCCGAATCAACAGTCTTGAAACCAACAGCCAGGAAATCAAAAGACAAATTGAATTGGGAAAGTCTGCTCTCAGGGACTTATCCAAAGTACTAAAGAGCAATAGTGTCAGTGTGGAGATGAAGGTGCGTCTTTGCAATTACTTGCTATGCATCAGAAAGCTGGACAATAACTAGGGATGATAGAAGGAGAATTGATGCCTTTGAATTGTGGGTCTGAATAAGAGTATTGAATATATCATGGACTGCCAGGAGAATAAACAGATTCATCCTAGGGAGGGTGAAACCAGGCTGCTCCTTGGAGGCTAGGATTCTCAAGCTTCATCTGACATACTTTGGACATGTTGCAGTCCTTGGAGAGAGACATCATGCTTGGGAGGGTGGAGGGACAGCATAAGAGATGAGATGGATTGACTCAGTGAGTACGGTAATGGGGGTGGGGGTGTCAGAGACTATAAGGTTGGCTCAGGATAGAACAGGGGCCAAAGCTGTTTGTACATAGGGTTGCTATGAGTCACAAGTGACTCAACAGCACACAACAACCACATGAGAAAATGTAATGAAAACACTCAAGGAAGCCTTTACCAATGAAGGAGAAGATAAGTACAGCTTATGTAAAAATATAAACTTATCTGAGAGTATGTTAGCCACAAAACACAGTTTTTATCACAGAAATGGAATAGGGTACAATAGACATCTTACACACATACTCAAGCCCCACAGATAACAGAAGTACCTAGCTGAGAAACTGACCCTAAAAAGGCTATCCAAATATCTGGCATTTTATCATTAAAGACTGACTCTATCATTTTTGCTTTGAATGTATTCTGTAAGACTTAATATATTAGCACATGTTTAGGTTCCCTATAAAAGGATACATCCGGTACAAATAAAGGTTCAAAATTGCAAACTGGTATATAAAACTGTAAATCAGTGTCACTTGGTTCTAGCTTGGAAGTTTGTACAATTTTAAGTAAAAAGCTCAGACATTTGGAAGTTTAGAGTTAAATGAAATGTGTTTCAGGTATAGTGTACCAGATGAAATTAACATAGGTCATTTATCAATGCAAAATAGTAATCTGAACAGTGACTGCAAATAAATTGTTATACATAAATATTGCATATTTATATTAACAAAAAATGGAAAGACTTAATACCAGGACTATTTATATGGGTGTTAGTTTTACAAATTAAAGAAACCCTAAATATGAGTATATATTTTATGTCTCATAAATATTAATTAAAAGGAATTTGTGGGGAAAAGAACATAAATATGACTCAGAGATCATACATTTTTACTGAAGGCACATTAGATATTTTGGCCATTTAATATCATATGAGAAATGTTGCATATAATTTTTCTTCTGTAGTTATTATTTTATTTTAGGAACTGTGACTCGTTTCCAGAACTAAACAAGACACAGCAATTCTGCAAGTTGCATGACAGTGGTAATTTGCATGGGGTTTTTAGAGAATGAAGCAGAATAAATGCATTTATTCAATAATACACATTAATTAAAAGCAGTAGCTTTAGGATCACTTTCATCTCTGTAGCTGCTTTCTTCTAAAAAGTTTATTTCCTTTTCATCTCTACCTGTGGAAATTGTGTCCAACCCTGAGGGCAAGTCCCTATATGATCTCCTTGTGACAGAGTTTCGCTCAGGTGCCTGGGCCTCCTCTGGGGACAGGCAGTGATGACTGAGGCTGGAACCTTCTGTCCCGGCTTCAGAAATAGGTGTGGGGTTTGGACGAGATTCCTTTCTCTTGCATGCTTTTGCTCCACTGCCTCAGAGCTTTTAGAAACTAATTCTGAACAAGAACTTCAGCTTCCACCTCACTCATAGGGGTTCCTGAGGTTGTACCTCTACCAGGGACACTTTCTGGTTCAGAAATATGATCAGGGATCCCCTACGAAATGGCCGAATTTTCAGGAAAAATTAAAACTATTTAAGAAGGAGGCAGAGAAAGGGACCTGTGAGAAAGGGCTCCTTGCCCCAGTCCAAGATCAGTGTCTAATCACAGCAAAGAGTCTTTAAAGTTGTAACAAGTATGCCTGTAAAGTCCCCCACTAATTTTCAGAGCTCCTCACCTTACCTGCTTGACTATAACCCTACATCCCTTTACCATCTTGCTATGCATCAGAGAGCTGGACTATGACTAAGGATGACAGAAGAAGAATCCCTGCCTTTAAATTGTGGTGGCTAGAGAAAAATATTGAACATACCGAGAGAATAAACAGGTCTTTTCTAGAGAGGGTGAAACCAAGTTGCTCTTTGGAGACTAGGACTTTGAAGCTTTGTCTCACAATGCTTTGGGCATGATGCCAGGAAAGACCAGTCCTTGGAGGAGGACATCATATTTGGAAGGATGGAGGGTCATTGCAGGAAAGGAAGATCCTGGATGGGAGAGATGAACTCAGTAACTGGAGAAGTGAGGATAGGTGTGTCAGAATCAGGAGCACTGCCCCAGAATAGGGTAGTTATGAGTTGCAGTGGAATAGACTGCTCGTAACAACTCTTTGGTTTCCAAGGCTGTAAATCTTTACTGTAGCAGACACCTCATTGACCGTCCCCTCACACACATATCCAGAAGATCAACTGGTGGGTTCAAACCTCAGACCTCTTGGTTCGCACGTCAACATATAACCCAGTATACTAATAGGACTACGATTTTTTTAAAGAGGAATTTTAAAGAGGGTGATTAGCTGCTGTTGTGAGGGTGTGTGATTTTGGGGGGCAAACACTCTAGAAGGCATCCCCTTAGGGTGGTTGGCAGGCTGGAACTCAGGCCTTGGGTGGTCTACCGTGAAAGTCTCTTCTGCCCTCCTCCACCCCTCCTTCCTCCACAGTTTGGCCTTGGAGAACTCCCTGATTGGCGTGCGCCCGCCCCCCATGCGTGCCCCGCCCGCTGCCTCCACCCCCTCTGCGGCCCCCCGCATCGTCCTAGCTCTCCCGACCTCCTCCACCAGCGCCACACTCACTTCCCGCTCCCGCTTGGGTCCTTGCTGCTGCCTCGCAGCCAGGCTCAGACTGCGCTGCCGGCTGATCTGCTCTAGCTCTACACTGCTGCTCCACATCTGACTCGGCCGCCGCGACCTGGACTCGGTAGGCTCCAGGCCCCACGCTTGCCCTGCTCTTAGGCGCTCCCCCACTCTCAACTAACGCCAAACCGTCCCATTCCCGCCACCACCACGGCCAACACGGGTGCCACGCGTCGCCGCCGCCGCCGCGGCCGCGCCAGTGCCACCCGGGCCACCACGCGCCCCGTGGCCCCACATCAAACAGGTAGCAGGAAACGGAAAGCGCCGGAGGCTGAAGCGGGCTCGGGGAGCTCGAGCTCGGCGTCGCAGAATCTGGCGGCAGCACCCGCAGCTTCAACAGCTGCCGCGGTGGAGGCAGGGGCGCAGCTAACTAAGAAGCCGCTGAAGCGGCTGGGGGCGCGACGCTCGCTGGTGCACTACCTGAAGGGCCGCGAGGTGGGCGCGCGTGGCTGCACCGGAACCCGGTGCTTCGAGGGCGAGCTGCGCACTTACACGGTTCACCAGCTCCCTGCTCTTCTGAAAGAGCGCGAGCTGAATCTGGGCACCCTCAACAAGGTCTTTGCGTCCCAGTGGCTGAACACCAGGCAGGTGGTGTGCGGCACCAAGTGCAACACACTCTGCCTAGTAGATGTGTACACGAGCCAGATCACACGCATTCCTCTCCTGCAGGACAGGGCGCAGCCATTGTTCCAGCCCCAACCGAGCTGTGGCATCCATGCCATCGAACTGAACCCCTCTAAGACGCTCCTGGCTACAGGGGGCGAGAACCCCAACAGCCTGGCCATCTACCACCTACCCACGCTTGACCCTGTGTACCTAGGTGACCGCCATGGCCACAGGGACTGGATCTTCTCCATCGCTTGGATGAGCGACACTGTGGTCGTGAGTGGTTCCCGGGATGGTAGCTTGGCGGTGTGGCAGGTGGACCCCGACATGTGCCACGGCAGCAGTGGCTTGCACAACGATGTGGGGCTGCCCATGTATGCTTATACTCGCCCACGGGATTTGGCGATCATCCCCAAGGCCGATACCAGCCCATTTAACCGCAAGGTGCGGGCCCTGGCTTTCAATGTCAAGAATGAGGAGCTGGGATCAGTGTCCCTCGATGGCTACTTCCACCTGTGGAAGGCACCAAGCATCCTGTGCAGGCTGCTGTCCCTTAGGCTGCCCTACTGCCGAGAGAATGTGTGCCTGACCTACTGCGACCAACTGAACCTGTACGCAGTGGGCTCCCAGTCCCATGTCTCCTTCCTGGATCCTCGTGAGCACCAGCCAAACCTGAGGCCCCTGTGCTCCAGAGAGGGTGGCACCGGAGTGCGCTCCCTCAGTTTTTATGAGCACATCATCACCATAGGCACCGGCCATGGGTCCCTGCTTTTCTATGATGTCCGTGCCCAGAAGTTCCTGGAAGAGAGGGCCGCTGCCAGCCTGGACTCCTCTCCAGGGTCCATGAAGAAGAAGCTCAAGCTCACCTCTGGGAGAGGCTGGCTCAACCACGATGATCTCTGGGTGAATTATTTTGGAGGCGTGGAAGAGTTCCCCAATGCGCTCTACACCCACTGCTACAACTGGCCTGAGATGAAGCTCTTCGTAGCTGGGGGGCCTCTCCCTTCAGGCCTCCATGGGAACTACGCAGGCCTCTGGAGCTAAGGAGAGCGACCTGATGTGATCAAAGTATGCAGGTTTACCTTCTAGTTGAGTCTTCTTTCTTTATGCTACCTTTGTGATGATTTTATTTCTTAAAAACTGTCTTTTTTAAAATTTCAGGCCCAACACTACCGGTTCTCCTGTAATTTTGGCCTTTGACAGAGAGAAAGAGAGAGATGACTCCTTCAGGAAATCAAAACTTGGCTTTAAGACTTCTCTGCACCTTATCCAACACTATAATGTTATCTTTTTATACAAAGTATGTTTGTGTTCTCTCTTTGAGTGATTCACCCAATTCTTTTAGGATGTTATAGTCTGGTCTCAGCAACAATTCAATAATTTAGTTTGACCACAATTTTAATAGTATGTTTTAATCTTTTATGCATTTCAGCTATATGTTATTTCAGGAAAATGTGCATAACGGACTCTTTATTATGGGTTATTCTGAGAAATTACCCATATTTATAGCCCTGCTCATCTAGAAAATGCGTTTTGAACTGGCTATTGCTGACATTTGACATGCTTCATTTGGGTGTTGAGAGTTAAGTTTGTTGTTTGCACATCATTGGTGTTTAAAGTGCTTTAAAATATATTTTCTTAGTTAAATGACTATCCTACAATCTTGTTTATCTACAACTTTTATTATATGGTAAAAATTTAGCATTGCGACCCACAAGCCTTCAGCCTTCATGTTTGTATTAAAGCCTGCTTTCCTTGGGTTACATTTGTGGTGTTGATTTTTAGAGTTAATCAGAACTGACCTATATGTGGCAGGAAAATCAGGGAGATATTTTTTGAAATAAACATGTCTTCAGAGTTCAGGTAACACTAACCAGCCAGCCATTAACAGTGAAGACCAGTCATTGTTTTCAGTGTAGGTGGTGATGATTCTTGTATACATGGCTAATTCTTTATCCTGATTTGGACATGTGATGTTTTGCAGAAATAAAAATAAAACATGGTCATAAAAGGTTGTGCAATGATAAAGTTTTTGAATACCTACATGTATACTTTATTACAGGTTAAGAAGAAAAGCTGGAGAGGTAACATCAGTTGCATATACATTGCTTTATACGTTTGTTTTCTGATACTGTTATGGCTTAAAAGGTTAAATAAATTTCTGAATATTTCACCTAAAAATATTTGCATGAGGTGGTTAGTTGTTGGGTTTTTTAAAAGATAAGGTAACAAATAATTTTTTCTACTTCCATAGACTTTTATGTTGAAGTTCGCATGTGCACGAGTATGTGAGTGTGTGTGGGTGTGTATGTGTGTATTATTTCTCATGAGGAAGGTAAAGGTGTCAGTTCGCTGACACCAGTTGAGCATGCATTTTAAATAAAGCATATTTGCTACACATACAAAAAAAGGTATCAAGGTATATAAGCTATTTTATGTATGTAGCTATTGTTGGTGTTTTTACCTACATCTCCCAAGACTTACCATTTAGAAAATATTTTTTTTTATTCTGTTTTAAAAATAGATGAAAAGCACACATAATCACGCATACACTTACACACGTTGTTGTTGTTGTAGTATACCACTAGACCCTTAGAGCTTCCTATACACATATTACACCCTGTTAAAGATCAAACTTAAGGGTCATACCATAGAATCCCTAGGCTCTGCCAGTAGATTCAGCCAGTACTTTTATGTTTGTGGTGTGTATATAATTTTTATACGCATGATGGCATATACTGTGTTTTGTCTTCTAAAAATCTTAAGATTGTTCCATATTCCTTTCTCCGAAAATGATATTTTTTAATTTTTGCACACTTTTCCTCCCAGTTTGCTTTTCTCATTAAAAAGTAAA